GGAAAACAAAACTCTCCAAACTTGTTTTTAATTCAAAACTGAAAGAGCGTTGTCAAATTTTCATTTATCTTGATTTTAGTTTTAATTTTTACTTATTATAATTTGTATTAAAAGCTAATTTATAAGAACTAAAGTATGGTTTTATCATATTTAGCGATATAGAATATCGACTGTAGGGCATTTCCAAGTTCATTTATCGGACTTTTCCACTCCGTTGTCCTCTCTCTGGATTTTCGGTAATTTAATTGAGCTTGCGGTCACAGCGCCGAGGAATCATGGCAAATTACTTGATTCTGATTTGATTTGTCCGGATAACAACTCGACCGATTTGCCCGCCCCGGGATTTTTGCGCCCCTTTGCCGGCGCCAGAAGATGATTTTCTTTTGTTTCAAGTGGCCGCAAACACTTTTGGCCAGAAGGGCGCATCCTTTTTTGCCATGGCAATGGCTAAATGATTGGACCAGGATGGGATTGCGATTGGCAGTAGGCTCGTCTGATTGCCCAAAACTAATTTGAATTTTATTGATTCGATTCGCGGTCCTGGAGCCATGGAGCTGTGGCAGCCCAGCAGCCCAGCAGCCCAGCAGCCCAGCAGCCCAGCAGCCAGGCATCCAAGCTGCCAAGCCAAGCCATTGCCAACTTTTCGCCTTTTCCTAATCCCTGTCAAAAGGATTGTGTCCCGAACCGAATGCTTTTGATCCGCAATTTCGGGCCCCCTTTTTTTTTAATATGCCAAATTGTCTTTTAATGTGATAAACGCATATGCTCATTGGAATCGCATTATCGACGCATCACTCGGATGTCCTTTTTGGGGAATTTGCATGCATTTATACCCGTAAGTAGCTTAAGTCGATGTGACAAATTTTAGGTCCTTATTTCGGGATGTCTGTTGACAAAAGTCCGTCGCCTTTTCCGGGGGGGTCTAGTGGTGCATGCATACACAGAAGTACGTGTGTGTGTCCCAGGGTGTGCGTGTGCCTCCTGAGTGTGTGTCCAAGGACTTAGGCTAGTTTCGGCAGGATTATCGGGGTTTTGCGTTGCTCTGATTTGGGATCTGATGAGTGTTATACCTCAGCTTAAACTTTTCAGTGAAGAGCCCCCAAGACCCCGTTGACATGGGCAAATATAGCCTGCTCTGCGGCTATAATCTCACGAATAATTACACACGAGAGAATGAAATTTGATTAATTCAATATTTGCACTCGCTTACCAACCCACCCCCACCCCCGTCGGAGAACGTGCTGGGGCAAAAGTTTCTCCCTGGTTATGCTGCGAGTGTGTGTGTGTGTGTGAATTTCCATGTTTGCTTAGCTAATAAATTCCGAGAGCAAAAGTAATCAAATAATTGCAGAATATACAGAAACAGGGACACGCACCCACATACACATGTTTCGGGGCTTGTTTTATTGCCATTTTATTTCATAAAATTTACGAGCCACAAAAAGTTTGCCACTACCGCCGGAAAAAGGAGGCCCAAACACACAATGAAAGTACCCAGAAGATATAGTGAAAGTGGAAGCAGTTTGCCAAGAATAATAAACTTGAACAAAGCTCTACGAGTCTATCAGTCAAAAGTGCCGGAAATCGTACATATATATACTCTTTTTTTCCCGCTGCTAAGTTAATATTGATGACGCTGCTTAGCAACTCTTGCCAGTAAAACCCCCAATAATCCTGACAAATCGCGGTTAGTTCTCGGGGCAACCGAGTGACATTCGCTTTATGACGCGCACTTTATACTGCTGCAATTGAGGCAACTTACAACTTTGTTATATCGCCAGAAACTAACGTTTTATAGGTGAACTTTTTTAGGGATAACGGGTGACTGATAATGGTCTGTCGTTCAGTCAAGTACCGAGTCATACGACCTATGAGAGGAGTCCTATGAGTTCTTTCTTTACTTTCAATTTTATTAGCAGATCTCTAAGGCAGTCGCTAAATTTTCATTTCCAAACTGAGATGCATTCATTTCACTTCTCTTAACTCGATTTCTTAAATACTTCAATACAAGCAATCCCCAGCAGCCTTATCACGAATTAAAGAAGCCTATTTGCTATTTATACACTTCACTTGATTTTTATTCACTCACATGTGTGTGTGTGTGTGTGTGTGTGTGTGTGTTTTTTGGCAAAAGGATTCGAGTTATTTCCTTTACAACCCATTCCAGTCCTGGCCCGTTGTCGTTTTGTGATGTCTGAAATTTCATTTCGTACGACTCGTGCATATCGAATTCGCCTTTTTTTTTTAGGGTTACGTTTGGCGTCCTGGCTCAGGACTCCCAAGGAACGGGGGCCACCCACATTGTCACTTTTGTGTGCCTTCTACGTGCGGTTGATTGATGGATTCGCTTGTTTACTTGTCAAGCCGCAACAAGAATGTACTTTTGGGTTGAGAAAAATGCGGGCGCGGAAGGTTTGGGAAGAAGGGAAAAGCGCAAAATGCTGGGGAAAAACGGTCTGGGGAACGGATTTCAAAATAAGCAATAGTCAGCAGTAATCGTGATATATCATATCGCAAACCGTAGGGGAACAGCAGCCGCATGATATGGGTCTTTTTCTGCCTCGATTTCATTTTCCCCAGCCTAAAACTCTGCTGCTCTTTTCTGCCACGTTCGACCCGCTTCCTTCTGCCTCTGCTTCTGCTTTTTTTTTCCTGACAGCTGCCGCGGGGCATTTGCCGAATACATTTTAAAGCCGGCAAATGTAAATTCCGTCTCGAGCGGAGACATAAATCATAGCAATTCATTGCCCTCGAGCACGCACTCCTGGGCAATTGACGCCAAGACAAAGCGCTTCCTGATGGGGTTAAATTGGCCAAGGACACAGGGGACCTGCGGAAATCGGGCGACAAGTCGCTCCTTAAATAATGTTTAAAGCACCAAAGCGGCACTTAGGTTTTAAAGGCCTTTTTATGGGATTTTTTTGGTATTTCTCGTAGCTTTTTTGGGTTTTAAAATTATTTGTCTTTATTTTTTCTCTTAAAATATGCTAAAAAATTATAAAAAATAACACAGTTTCGTTGCATTTTGACCAGCAACGGGAAAAGTTTTAGGCCAACATGAGATGCTTCTTTTCCTCACAATCTTTAATAATTTGCGCCCGGACACACTCCAAGATGATCTAATAAACTTGCCTGAATGTCTGCAAAATCCCATTTGGAGTGGCTTCTCTCTCGTCTCGTCTCGTCTCGCATTTCCATTTCTGTGCGTGTTGCTTGAATCTCATTACAATTGCAAAGGAAAGCGGGGAAGGCGGGGTAAAGCCCCGCAGCCGGTACTCCTTGAGGCCAAGAATACGCATTTCATTTGCAAGAAGCCAGCGCCACTAGCTTTCCCATTTCCCGACCCCCCACCACCGACCGAAACTAGCCGGGGAAAACTCAGAAAAGCCATCTAAAAGTTAATTACAATTGCCTCAGCCAGCGCTGCTGCAACTTTAACTGCCGCAACGAGTTCGCATTAAGCAGGAACGAGCAAGCGAAAAAAGGAGCACGTGAAAAGCTGAGGAAAATGAAATAGGAGAAGCGGGAGATACCCTGCAAAACTGTGAAAGTTAATAAAAAGAGAGCTTTCCTATTTTGGTTTGCTTTTGAAGAAAGATAAACTTAGCCAAGCTTAACCTTAAGCCTTAACCTTAGTTTCTTTGTTGTAAATTTGAAGTAAATTCATACATCAGCTATAGTATTTCGAAAGAAGAAGATCACTTGCTTAGGAAAGTATTCGACTCCCAATAATATAGAATGTAAATAATATTCATAAATATAACGTAGAGCAGGCAAACTTGTAGCTGTCACCCTACAAAGTCCTGCTAGCCTCGACCCCAGGACCCTGCCAGAGGGTATCCCGAAAAAAGGCAACCCACAATGAAGTTCGAGCCGTAAGCAGTGCCAGTGGCTGGAGCAGTAATATCAGAAGTAACTGGCAGTGCCAGTATCTAAATGCTGCAGTTTTCGCTGCGAGGGGGGCGTATAAATATTAAAAAGAAAATCTGCTACATGGCTACGTGCGACGCATTTCAACGCAGCCAACGCGACCTAAGTGAACTCCTGCCACTCCCACTTTTCCTCCTATTTTCCCACACTCACACACACACACACACACACTCTTACAGAGAGGAATGATGGGGAGAAGGATACAAAGCAGGTCGGGCAGAGGCAAAAAAAAAAAAAAGAAATGAAGAGAAATTTACTTTGACATATTTTTGTGCTTAGCAAAGCAAATACTTTCATTATTTTTGCTGTTGGGCACAAAATTTCCCTCTCCCGCCCACTTTTATTCGACCCGCAGGAAAAGCAGGAAACTGGAAGGGAGCTGCATTTGAGTGGCTCAAAACATTCTGCGGTCCACGCCCCAAACTTGAGTGGAAAATGACAGAGAATCTGGGGCGGTAGCGGTGGCGATGGCAATGGCGATGACGATGACGATGGTGTTGGTGGTGTGGGAAAAACCATATCCAATGACCCAGACGTGGACAGCATCTGTAGTAATTTGGCAACATTTTTCGCCTCTTCAACGCAGCTGATTTTAGATAGGTCACGAAAAAGTAACCCAAACCCAGAATGCGATTAGAAATTTTCATATTTATCGATTATTTGTGGCCTCGTAAAAGCGCTAAGCAGATTTCAAGGATTATCAATCCATGCCGTAGAACGAACCAAAAACTGTGCCAAGACTCTAACAAAACATTTTGGGAAGTAAGCTGAAAGTGCTGCTTAATAAATTGATGATCAAATTGTACTTTTCAAGGGAAAGTTTTGATGGGAAAAACTCGAGTAAAATCTCAGCTGCATTATAAATCAATAATGGAGAATGTCTTGGATGTCTAGATAAGCCCAAGAAGCTTATGTAAGGTTATCATAGATATTTTTATGTATTTATTAATTCAATTTTTTTTAAGTTTTTTAAGCTGCAACATAACAACCTGACAACTTCGAACTTAAAGTTTGTAATTTGAAAAATTAATACGAAAACCTTTCTTTTCCCTCCTCTCAATCTCTTTCAGATCGTCAAGTGTCTATGAGGACAGCTGAAAGTATATTGTTTTTTTTTTGGGGGCGTGGCTCCAACTGCCCCACGCCAAGGTACGCCCACAGGAGCAAGTGAGACAACAGAAGGCAGGGCAACAGAGAGGGCAACACAGATGTGCGAGCGGCGGTGAGTGAGCGGACTGGGATTCCGGATTCCAGGGGGGCTGAGAAGGTGGTGAAGGCGCAGAAGGACGCAGGACGAAGGCCATGGATTGGACCCGGTGGCAAATGGCCAGAGAAAGAGCTGGCAACCCTGGACAAGTCAGGAACAACCCTGGGCACAAGGATTGCGATCGCGAGACCCGATTGGAGTGGTTGCCCATTTGATTCGTTGCGGCTTCACACGTAGGTTCTATCAGTCAGTCAGTCAGTCAATCAATCAATCAGTCAGTCAGTCACCCACTCAATAAATCAATCGTGCCAATCGTGCCCGGTTGTCGTTGTACCCCACATCATCAGTTAAAAACAGATAACAATAGCAAGCGATCAAGACATGCACATTACTGTAAATACTCAAAGCTCAGAACTAGTTTCATAAAAGTCAAAAATCAAATATAAAAAATACAAAAACCAAAACCGAAAACGAAAAGAAAAACAATAACAAAGTGCAGTGTTCAGTGTTAAACGTCGGAGGAAAAAGAGACGGCAGAGGAAAATCGAGTGGGGAAAACTCCAGAAGTGAGAGGGCGGCCGAGGGCTGCCCCGTTACAGCAACCAAAAAGAAAAACAAAAAAACAAAAAACAAAACTAGCAAATCTTCAAGATCAACAACAACAAAAATCAACAAGAAAATCCACAGAAACAACAACAACAACAGCATAACGCCCCCAACACTGCCAATGCCATTGCCATTATCAAGACAAACGTTCGTTCATCATCGTTCGTTTAGATTTGACACAAGTGAGTCTAGTTTAAAATCATAATCATTCTTACTATCTATAATATATATCAAGTTATTCCCGCTGGAACTGAAATTTCATGTTTCAGCCCAAAAGTAGGCAATTATTTTGCTATTTTGGTCTGCAAAAATTGAGTTTCTGTTTTCGCGGGACATTAAGAAGCATTTTATTAACATTCTTAGCTGTAAGTATGTGAACTGTAAATATAATCCCTTGTTAAAACTAGTTTCCATGCATAAAAGGTTAAAATCGCACCTTAAGATCCCCTCTTTAAAGGCTATCAAGGTTAGCTCTGTCTTAAGATATTCAAAGAGCAAGATGTAGACCACTTGTAAATATTTTCCTTGTTTAAAAACTAGTTTTCATACATTTCAGATAGAAACTTAGTATAAGGACATACTCTAAAATCAATTTTACTTAGATCTTTGAGCAAGATTAGCATTCGCAGCCACTTACTAACATATATGGCATGTTAGCCAGTTCTAGGAAGCCCTGATGAGTGGTTTGTTAATTAGAGCTGTACACGTTAGCTGGAACGGTTTCGTGATTTTACACTATTCATTAGGGTGTTGCCGTGAGTAATTCAATTAAAATGCTTAACCTGTTGATGGAAGTGTTTTTGTAATATCTATTAGGGAACATTTTTGAGGTAAAGTAAACATAAATATGCGAATTTGAAGAGCATTAAATTGCAGTAGAAACCAATGTGACATAAAAGTTTCAACATAAATCAGTTCGTTTTTGGATAATGATACAATCATAGACCTATGAACTTTTAGAATACCTTCACAAGTGATTGCAAGACCCCAGTCTCCTAGTATAGAGTGGGTTATGACTTGATATACAGCGAAGGAAGACCCCCCCCATCACAGACCCACCACTAAGTAAGTGATTTGGGGACCTCAGTGGGTTACTCATTAGCGCGTCGGGCTGATTAGTGAATAGCCCTTAGTGATTAGCGACTAGTGTCAAGTGCCATCAATCAGAGTTGCTTTCGATGAATCACTTAGCCGACAGCTGCCGCGAGTGCACCCATCGGGCGAAGCGTTAGAGGGAGTGCTGCAGTTGCAGTTGCCATCCATCAATTAGTTGTGCACCACTTGCCACCCACCACCCAGTTGCCCACCCACTTTGCATATTCGTTTAGTCGGGCGCAACCCCGCCGGGCAACTCCCGCGTGCCCACTCCCAATCGCAATGGCAATCTGCAATCTGACAAATCAAATCTTGTATGCAAAGCAGCCAAAGCAAAGCGGCAACTGGCGACACGACCAACAGCAAAAGCAACAAGGCGGCGACCAATTTGTACAAGCATTTGTGCCAACAAAACGCTGACACGCAGGCTAGCAGGAGAGCGGACCGGCCAAAGGGGATCACGCGAGGGGAAGGGAGACAAAGCAAAGCATAAACAGGCTCATACCAAAAAAAAGCAAGCGGGCGGCAGAGCTAGAAAGCAAGCTAGCAACGGCAGCAAAAGCAGAATATGAAAGCAAGCTAGTTCGAAAGCAAAGAGAAGGTAAAGAACAATAATAATAACCGATACCCAGGCTAGCATTAACGCGGGAAAAGCATGCTTTAGTGAAAAAAGCAGAGGAAAAGCAGCAAAAAGCCACAAACGAAAAGGAGTTTGTTTACAAGCGAAGAAAGTATAAGCAGGAGAAGCAAGTAAGCTGGTAAGCTACTGAATATTAGTGAATCTTAGAAGAAACTAAGAAAGCAAACAAGATCGGTTCGAAGCAAAAGCAAAAAACAAGCTAGCAAGAAGAAAGCCCACATCAGCAGGTAAAGCAGCAGAAGGGCGGCTGCTAGAAGCGAAAAAGCAAATCAGCTGAGCCAGTAAGCAAGTTAGCCAGCAGGAAAGTTAAGGAGCAGGAGACGACGCCTAAATAGTTGCGTGACCAGCGCGTTTTGCACAATAAACAGCGTAATTGCTCATAAAGCGACTGCTGTGAATGACCCGCACGCCGGACTAACCGACCGTTTACGGCAATTACAAACCAGAGAAGGAGCAGGAGGAGCAGGAGGAGCAGGAGGAGCAGGGGAGGTGACAAGCAATTAGGCGGACAGAAGGCGGCGGTGGGGGGTCGGTCGGCCCCCCCAACCCCGGATGTATAAGCCGGACACGCTTACGCGCCGCGGCAGCCTGAGATCCCTGCGCAGCGCCCCGCTCCTGAGCACCGTACTTGAAAGCACACTTTCGCTGACCCGCATCCATCCGATCGCCTCCTTGGAGCTGCCCGGCCTAGACTATGCGGTCCACTCGCAGTCGGCCTTCGGCGCCTACGGGCTGGCCCATCCCCGGGATCTAGCCACCTGCACCTCGTTACGCAGCGGCCTTGCGGCGATCACCGCAGCCTCCGCCTCTGCCGCCGGCGGCGTCTCCCAGTCACAGAGCGCCCTTCTAGGGCGGTACGGACCCAACGCCTCGATTCGCCACGGAGAGCGAAAGATTGTCCAGCCCAAACGGTAGGTCTTTCCTATGCATAAGGTCACCCCCTGGTAGAGTTCCAGAAATGGAGACTAGAATCATCTGTCATAAGAGGTTTGGTATATCATAACTACTATCTAATCGGGGTTGTGGTGTGACATATCTAATGTCACTCTGTTTTCTCGTAAGATATCATTATAAAATCGTTATACAATATAGTGAGGATGGAATGGTGGAAAAGGGTATAAACTACATCGTGGAATATCTTGGTTTGTGCTTAAATTTTCTTTTAGAATTAGGATGGTTAGGGGGTAACATAATGTTGGCTGGCCTACTGCCAGTCCCTCACCGGACTCCAACGCTTCAGGTTTCCATCCCAGGGCAGATCAACGATATCCGCCTGAGCGGCAATGGCGGCCTTCACTCGGTTGGAGAACTCCACCGCTGACTCTTTGGCAAGTCGCCGGAGCGGCGGCATGTACCAGACGTCGCAGCAGATGCACCACGAACTGACCACCATCAGCATATATCTGAGCATGGAGTGCTTGGCGCTGTCCCAGTAGGCTTCACCGAACCGGCGATCGTACCGAATGGCCACCGGATAGACAATGTCACTAACAGCGAAACTGCCCTTCTTGAACTGCATCACAGCCGTGTTGTTGATGCACGTGCCCTCGGGAAAGAGGAGAACTGGAGGACGTCCCGTCGAGGAGCAGTGCTGGCGAAGGACCGTGCTGAGGGCTTCACGATCGGCCAGCTCCTTGCGATCGAACCAGATGTGAGGAGAGATCCTCGAGAGGGAGCGCTGCAGGATCCCCAGGATGCCAGTGTGCACTTGGCCAGTCAGCGAGTAGTTGGCATCGCACATCAGCGCCAAGACGTCCAATGGACTGGTATGATTGCACACACAGATGCCCTGGGTGGGTCGGTATTGCGTGTTGTGGAACCTCCGGATCATCGGAAGGCAGGAGGCGGTAGTGCGGAAGCACTGCTTCAGGACCAGCTCCACCAGATGCTTCTTTAAATACCACTCGGGGAGGTTACCCAACAGCACCGAAACCCCACTGATCATGAACAAGCACATCCAACATGCTGTGGTCCTCAACGGCAACAGCACTCCATAGCGCGTAAACCAGCCCAAAAGCCAGACAATCCTTAAGCGCCAGTTTAGGTATCGTTTCTTCTGGCGAAGATTCCGCGTGAGTAGGTTCCATTCTCCAGGGGGCGATGGCGGGGCCACAAACCTCTGGGTCACTTCGTCCTCCAGCACCAAACCCAATCCGGCGGTTATCAAGTCGCAGCACTGCTCCACCCGGATGGTCAGACGGTTCTTTATAGGCGGCGAGGCTTGCCTCTTCGGACAGTCACCTTTGTCCTGTTTCTTATCCGGGGATTCCGAGTCCTTCCTCTTTTGCTTATTCACGGACCCCCATTTTTGGCCCAGTTGAAGGCGCTCCTCACGCACTCGTATCCTGTGGGTTATCGCCAGCTGCTGGGCAATCCATTCGAAGAGCAGCTCCAGGACATACAGGTAGAGACCATGCAGCCAAAAGAAGAACCCACACACTGGTATGCTCAGGATGACCAATTCAAGTAACATTGCTAGTAGTGGAGAAGGAGCAAAGGCTGGGAAAGGGTTAGAAAATTAGAGAAAGAAATGGTTGTAAGATTGTAGAGTTCCTACTTTTAAGTTTCTACTTCGATATACTGAAAGAAGGGGAGTGATTTTTAATGGGATGAAACTAGGATTAAGCCTTCCAAAGCCAGGACAACTCCAGTCGAATTGAATACCAATTAACTGCAAGGACATTCATGAAAAATGCCCACAGACTGGCTTAAAACAAACAGCAACCCCATCCGGACATAAATGTGAATAAATCTGGGTGAGCTGCATTAATGTCCTCAAGAGTTCAGCCACAAATTTCCCAATTAAAGCCGTAATTCAATTTGGCGCCGACTTTTGGGCTTTGGCCTCGCATTTCCCCGTTTTCCTAACATATTTTTTCTTTTCGTTAAGCGCCCAAAAGACTTTTGATTTATTTAGCCCGAGATGTGAAGGAAAAAATAAGAAAGCGAACAAGAAACTTTGCCGTCGTCTTCCCTTTTTTTTTTTTTTGGCTGCTGACTGGGCCTGAGTTTTTTGGGTCTTTGGGTTTGGGACTTGGGCTTGGGCTGGAGCTGGGGCTGGGGCTGCTCTGGCTGCTGCCTTAGCCCATTTTTTGCTTTTTCATATGGCAATAATTCAATTATGCCATAACAAGGCCGCAAAATGTTTGCCTTCGGGCGACCCGAAATCACTTGAAAACCACAGAAACTTCTGGCTTTGTTAATTCGTTAATTAAATGGGGTTTGCGATTTGGCCACCGCTCCTCGAGGATTACGCATTGGGCGATGATGATGGTATGATGGTTTGGTTTGCCGGCATGATGGTGGTGCTTCCTTCCGCCGTCTCCCATTGATTACATTGGCTGGCAACAATCTTGGCTTATCAAATGCAAACAACGACGACAGGCAACGTCAACGTCAACGACAACGACAACGACAACTCATTTAGGCCCGGGCCCGGGCCCTTAATTAGCATAGAATGTGTTTTAAAAAGCCACTTGAGCTAAACATTCAAAACACCTACAGGGTGTTTTCCCCAGCCCCCTGCCATCCTTCTCACCTGTCTCCCCTCCCCCGTTCTGCCCGCCTTTGCTCGCTTTTCCACTTTTCCAGCGACAACGACAACGACCTTAGGCGCTTTCTGCGCGGGAAAGTATCTGCGTGGCACAGTTTGGCAAGTCTGAGGCCGGACAGATTTAAATACTCTAACAGCCGAAAGCGGGGGATTATGACGGTAGCAGCGACTAGAGGTTGGCTTTGGCTATCTATCTAACTCGGGTTAAAAAGAGTCCAAAATGCCAGCAATAAAAATGATTTCGCTTAGAAAATCTATCAAATTTTTATGAAAAATCAAGAAATTGATTTCTGTTTTGGAATTTACTTAGGTGTTAAGGAAAGTATCTTCAAAATGCAGATTTGTCATCACCAAATTACCAATTTATAAACATTAACTTGAATCTATTTTCCTTTCAAAGAACTTTCAAATAAAAAACTAGGAAAACATGCCGAAACAACGCTGAAAGGACAACGTTGATCGAGATTCGGTGACCCGATGATGGGATGATTCCTTGAGACAAGCTTAGAGATGCTATAATCCCATTTGGATATACATTCAGGTGCAGGTAGGGTACACCTGCGTCGACGTCGGCGCAGCAGCGACTGCGGCAGCACGTGACGCTCAAGTGTTGGGATAAGCATTTCCGCTCTTCAGACGTTACACGAAAAAAGCGCCCCTCTTGTGACAAAGCGCTTGTTGTTGTCGCGGAAAAGCGGTGGAGAAGCGATGGTCGAGGGGCTGGTGGCGGGTTGTAGGGGATGGGCAAATGAGGAAGCACAAAATGAAATTGTGACGCTGGCTCTGCGACACGCCCACATGACGAGGCGCCGCCACGCCCACCTGCCATTCAAAAGTAATTTAGCGTTTAAAAAACATTTTTCTGCCTGACTTTTAAAAAGTTGCGCGTAATGCGAGGCGCGTGTGTGTGTGTTGGGCAGGTGGAAAAGCAGGTTGAAAGGCGGTTGGTAAAGCAGGGGAAATGCGAGGAAAACCCGCCACTCACCTGGTTGTTGTAGCCACGTTCCGATTTCGATGTCGTCGTCTGTCTGATCCGCCCGATTGTATTTTGTTATGGCTCGGCAAAGGGAGAGAAAAAACGAGAACTGCCTGCCAAATTTTTTTACTTATTGACTTTGACGTTTCACCAACCGCCTACGTGAGTGTATTAATCAAGGCAAGGTGAGCTGACGGTGGAGAGGTCCTGGGCAAATGTCTATGGAAGTGCTGCTTAGATTATGAAAAGCCTGCGCTTCGACAAAAAATAGGAACGCCGCGTAATGAGATTAGGGAAGTTGTTAGCACTTAAGCACTGAATAAAATGCCAGCTACGCCAGGAACAATGTCAGAATGTTGCTTTTTGTAACCATTTTTGTGTGTCTAAACTTTAAGTTCAGCTCACAAAGCAAATTGATATGTGAATAGTGAAGCTGATTTCCATAATTTATCAGGGCAAAGCAAATAAAATGTTTCGAGTTCGCAGTTACAACAATCAAAAGCAAACAGAGCGGGTTAATTACCTTTTTTGTTAAACTAAACACTGATCGGTGGCATCAATGCTCTATGCTCTATATTGCAAAGTATTCATTACACCTTATTAATAATGCAAAATCATTGAAAAATAAATAAAGAACTTTAGACGAGTCGCATGGAAAATGCATGGGCATGGCTGGTAAAGCCATTTGCCATGAGAAGCCGTTAAAAAGCATCGCAGGGGGAAATAAAATAAACAATCAAGTGGAATAATGACAATGGGAAAACATTCAGTCCAATCCCAGCATTAGCATAATTTTGGGTAATTATTTCCATAAGTTTTTCATCCCCCCCGAAAGCCAGGCGCAATGTATAATTTCCTTGTGATTTTCTTTTTTATACCCACATAAGCGGCTGTTTTCCCAAGCCAAGTTAATTAAAAAAGTGTTGCCGTTTGACCCTCGGAACTCAGAACACGAAGCTGGGGAGGAACTGGGAACTTCGAACTCACAGCTCAAATCCCTTTGACACTCGATGGGAAAAGCTCGCCCGCACTTTCCCATAATTGGTTTATGCCATTTTCCCGGCTTGTTTACGCACCGCCAACATTTGCATAATGAAACGGGAATCAAATACAAGAAATGTGATTTATAATTTTTCTGTTGTTCAGCGCCGGGCATTTTAATTAGTCCCGGAAGAGGACCCATCGCCTAATTATGTGGGGTTGGGGTTAGGTCTCTCCTGCCACCAAGTCATTATTTAATATAAGCCGCCTCGGCTTCCTTCCACGCTTTTGATAAATTATTTCCGCCTGATGGACGCTACGTGACGAAAGTTGTCAGAAAAGCCAGAGAAGGGCGGAGGAGCCTCAGTCTTATGTATTTTTGATTTGCGGCCGCATCGAGCAGTTTGCCAATCATCCATCCTCGAGGCCTCGTTTATTTGCGGCAATTAATCAATTTGGCCAGCGGACCGGCTTATCCCCGAATAAGTGATAAAGATTTATCACTCAGCCGCCCCGTTGCCGAAGTCCTTAAAGCGATTTAAAGTGCCGGACTCTCGACGTTCATTGAACCGAACATTTTGACTTTTGCGTCTCAACGCACATGAAAAGCGTTCGGGAAAATGGGAAACGGGAAAATGGGAAATGGAAAATGGAAAATGAGGGGGCTGGCATTTATTTTGACTAAGAACCGACCAAACTGCAGGCGCAATAAGTAGCGAAAGGCATAGAGAAGTCGCACAGGGAAATGCTCTTGGAATCACATTTTTCCCACTCGTAATCATAAATTAAAATTAAAAAATATTACGGTACTAGCACCAAGATATTCCCTTTTGAAAATTCCAAATATTTTAATTTTATAATTTAAAAAAAATTAAAAACCTATCATAGAATTTTCCTTTTGATTTAACCAGCTTGTAGAGCAAAGCCAAGAGCTCGGAAAATGCTTAGGGCATTCAAAGCTACAAACGGTGAAAATGTTGAACATAAATCTTTAAAAGTGAAGAGCATAGGATATATACTGCTCTGTCCGACCCCCAATTTCCCGTCCACCCAGCCATTTTCCCGCCCCTCCATCATTTAGCCTGCTGCATTTTTCGAGCTATTTTTTTTTTTTTTTTTTTTGTAAGCGGCTCCATGTGGGAGAGAAGCGTGGGGGTCAATGCACCCGGAAAATAGAGAGGGGAAAATGGGGTGGAAAAAGAGGAGGGGTGAAAGCCAGTCAGACGACGTCGACGACGCCGACTCGTTCACGATGTTTACGTTTTGAGCCGCGCTTTTCGGGGCTTGTCAACGCCATCCTCATCCTGCCAACTTATTACTTGAAATTCCGGCCAGGAGAATTTCTTAGGTGCAAAAAGTTGCACTTCACCTGCAGGATTGGGTGGTGCGCGGATGGTGGGTGGTGCTGGATGGGTGGTGATGCGGCGGCAGCAGCAGCACTGGCGGCGTTGTGCTAAGTGAAGTGTAGGCGCAAAGGCGAAACACGCGAAACTTGTCGGTGCAATGTAATAAATTTCGAAAACGTCCAAACGCTCGGTCCATAACGAATGGCTTGCCCAATGCACATGGACAGAAGCCACCAGAAAGCACCCCAGCCCAGCTGCCAACCAGTCTAGGACCACCCACTCTGGCACCACCTTGTTAGGCTGGTGCAATAAGTCTTTTATGGCTTAGAGAGCCACCGAAAGAGAGCTGCAAACTTTTATCATTAAAGTTGAAAGGTAAAATTCGGCCATAAAAAGCGCGCAAGAAGGAAAATGGAAAATGGAAAATGGAAAATGGGCGAAAATCGGTAAGAGAGTGTGGAAAAACTCGCGAAACGTGACTCACAAAATCCGCTCACGTGACCGAGTCAATAAAGTGCAAAAGATTCGCGAGTAAATGAATTTCCCCCTCCTAATGTCCGTCTTGTTTCGTGTCGATGCGATTCTACTTGCCCAACACTGCTGCCAAGTGTGTTGAGTTTTACCTTTTAGCCAACACTGCTGCAAAACGATAATATTATTTATTTACAGTTTTCTAGAAAATTCTCGATTGGCTTTGATTTTCTTTGGGGAGTTTTCTGTTCCGTAAAGTTAGCCTTCGATCGAAGTTGTTCTTAAATGAACCTTCACTTCTGTTACCTTTTGGTTCAAAAACTACATTTTGAAGAGCATTAGTCCATGATAAATATCTTAAGTTGAGTTCATTATTGAACCTTATAAACTATTTTCAATATTTCCTTTTAAGACTCCATCTAAGCATGGAATGGCAACCATGTTGAACTTAATCTTAGTTATTTCCAACATAAAACTCCCCTTTTATTTGGAATTTTCTTGTAAATACCGAAATATATTGTACCTGAACGTGCTGGAATGCATTAAATGCCATAAGCAATGGGCAGGCTTCAAAGCCATGTCCAATTTTTGCCCACATGTGCTACCGTAATCCCCAAATCGATCATCGTGACCCCGGTT